TCAGCTTGTTTTTTTTCCTCTGTTCAACAGTTCTTGTGCCATGGCAAACAAAAGATAGACATTCTGATTTGCTTTACTGTTTGGTTTATGATATCAATTGAGTTTGTTTTGCAGAGATCTGTGGGAAAAGGTAGAGAGGATCTGAATCCCGTTTCTCCTCATTTGCCTGTTTCTGTGCTGCTGAAAGCTCCAGAGAGTTCTGTTTCTTGCCTGGATCTGCTGGAAGCTGAATCACGGTGGTGTTTGAGGGGCTTTCCTTTCAGGGCCAGCAGTGTGTGAGGGTGTGTGAGTGTGGGCACTCACAGAGTGGGCCTCACTCTGCTCGGAGCTGTGCTGTGCCCAGTACCTGCTGACTGCACTGGGAACTGAGTGCACTTAGTGTTTCACAGGATCACATCTTGTATTACTAAAAGATTATAATTTTATGACCTTTTAAAAATGTATGCAGGATTGCATTTCACAGAAGAAAAATTTGTATACTTTCAGATGAGTCATTTCTACTATGCCCTGTCAAACCACACTGAAAGGAACAATTCCACTTAACAGAACTTCTTCACTAAAGTATCCAAGGGCAATATTTGGTCATTACTTTTTAGAGCATTATTGAAAAACTGTATTTTGTGTTGTTCTCAAGATAGTGAAATAAAGGGAGAAGGAGATTTGTGAACCCTTTTCAAAAGCAAGTCAATTAAAATTTAATTGACTGAAATGTAATGACTATTTTTACATTTCAAACAGCATATGCAAGTAAGGCATCCTGCTCATCATCACAAAAGACAGTATTAAATGGAGAACAAACAAAAACCAGCAAGTGTTATACTGACTATACTTCAAGAAGTTGTGTGCCTCTGCAATGGCATATGATTTCTGCCTTCTGTAAAAAGTTGGGATAATATAACATTCCTTGTCTTCTTTGTGATATTTTTATTTACTGTGTCCCATTAGATGCTTCCAGGTCAGTGAAGGTGTAATACCATGTGTTTGTCTCTGTAAGATCACTTGAGCAGTCAACACATTTGTTCAAATGGTTCCTTGTCTTCCCAGGAATTCTACAGGAAAGAAGAAAATAATGTGCTTGGTCTTAGTCTCAGTCAAAACCCGATGGACGTCCTAGTTGTGTAGAGCTGACAAAGGAATTGAGTTTTAACAGGAATTATTTTTCCTGTTTCCATTAAAAGAGTGAAATTTATCCATGTAAAATAAGATCTAGTATGAAAAAGTGGGTTTCAGTTAATATACATCTTCTGAATTTACTTATATATTACATTGAATTAAAACATCTGTAGAATCATACAAACCTAGTGATTTTTTGTGTGATAGACATACCAGTATCCCATACTCAGAGATATCCATTCTGAGGCATGGTCAGATAATTCTAACTAAATTAAATATTCAATACCAGCCCATGGGAAAGAGACCCCTTCTCAAAAATAATGCATTTATCTTTTCTGGTAGCTTTTAATTCCTTTGCTTTCTGTATTTTTTTTCCTTTTTGCATTTGAAAATATATATATATATATATATATATATATATATATATATATATATACTTATTTATTCCTCGGCCTGCTGAGAGTAATTTAACTCATTACTTTAATTCACTTCTGCTCTGGGAATCGGTGGATAAGTTTTCTACCTAATACATTATTTTTTGCTGCTCAAATCTCACTGCTAGTGAGGAGTACAGTTTAAAAACTCCCTTCACAAAGCTGTTTCACCTCCTTACATGAACCTCTCCTGAATCATTGAGGCTGCCTTTCCTGTTGCCATAGGATCTCTTTTCCTTGAAAGATGATCTGATCTTGGACACCTTGTTCTCCATAATGATTAGTGTAGGGATGTTAGGTTTTAGCTTTCCTCTAATGCTATCTACTCTCCAAAGATTAAAGGAGAATTAAATCTTCATTTGAAAGATGGATGTTTTTCCAGTTCCGGAGGCTGAATATTTCCTTTTTCTGTCTTCCCTAATACAGGAAATGCTTATGGCTTCAGCATCGTTCTTCCCAAATGATTTTGCCAAAGCTACACATATGTAGAAATAGGTGAAAAAGACTAAAATTTATGCTTTTCTCTTTCTTTCTTCAACTACCTGTTTTGATAAAGATAGCAGAGATTTCTATATTTCTTCCCCCTCCTTGTTTTGTATTTCTTCCCTCTTAAGCATCACTGCTGACTACTTGTGAAATGTCTTTGTTTCTGCTATAAAATTGTAGTGTTTTAGTGGGTTTTGAGTCTCAGAGGTTATGAGATTAGGTTTAGATTCCTGCTTCTCAGCCTGTTCCTTCATTGTGAATAGTAGGAAAGCTTCAGGATTGGGAGAGATTTGTTTTCAGATTCAAGTTTGGATAAAATTCCATGAGAAAACCAGCTCTCATGAAATTCTGAATTGAAATGGTTTGGCATATCAGAGGAACAATATGTTTCTAGTCTTCCTCAGATTGAGTTGGATCAACTCAATATGAGCTCAAAAGATCTCAGTGCTACTACTTTAAAATTTGGAAGTTTAGTTCTTGTTCATAGTTCAGCTCATCCACAGCCCATCACTTCAGTCTGAAGGGAGGCTGTTGTTGGTCCATCTCTATTGTCCATTAAACTGTGGTCGTGAGTCTTTTTGGTCTGTGATAACAGCCATGCTTTCTCTATCCTTGGGAAACACAAGCACCATGTCAAAGCACAGGGTTCTTCTGGATGGTGTGTCCTACTGGAGGATGTGTGGAAAATGCACATGGAAGAGACTGAGGTTACTCAGTTTCTTCTGAAAAAACAACTATGGAAGAAGGAACGCAAGTGGAAGAAAGAGAGGCAATCTGGAAGGAGCTGCCTAGAGACACATTTGTGACAGATTTCTGACTTTTCCATGTCAGACGTATCCAGGTCCTGTATGATGATGCTAACTTGCACAAAGTAATGTCTTATTAGAAAGACCACGCTGTGCTGTCAGGGCACATTTTGATGATAATATGACTCATCAATTCTTCAAGGCATTAGTGCCCCAGCTTCACCTCAGTAAAAACAAGAATGTTTATTGCTTCCCAGAAGGAGGAAAAAAAAAAAAAGAAAAAATATTTCAGAAGCCTCTTTAGAGCTGTGTTCATCAATCCACAATGAGCTCTGTGTGCATCCTTCTGTACCAAAACTTCTCTACTGCTTTCAGCCTCTTCTCTCCCTTCTAGGTTCTTCTGGTGCCAGAGGTATCTGGGTTCTGTGCTCTGTGTTTGAGCTCTTTTCTGAATAGAGCAGTAATCATACCTAAAAATGTAATGCTGTCAGGGTATCTCTCAATATTAACTTTTACTTAGAGAAATTCAATGTAAGCAGTACAAATTGCCTGGGGGATGATGTCAGCTGCTGCAGTGCCTCTGCTTCTGTGGCTTTAGTGAGGGCACCAGTTTTCTTTTACCCTTTTCTTTGCTTTCAACCTAGCTAATATTTTTGTTTTTCTCATCTCATTTCCGTTTTTCAACGAAATGGAGGATTTTGCTCTATATCCCTAAAAGTAAAAAAAATACAAAGAGGGAAAACAAACTGGATTTAGTTTTCTGTCCATTAAGCTTATGTTTTAATTGATGCTAACATGTTCTCTGCTGCACATGTTGTTTACAGTAGAGTATATGTCATAATGTGTACTGACACAAGCTAAAGTTTATAGGGAGATGTGACTTGGAAATATTGTGCCTATATTTGCACAAAATGGAGGAGTTACCCCAACCCCATAAAATAAAATGTATCTGTTGAGCTGTGCTTTTTTAAAATACCATTTGCTCAAATGAGCTCTAGTTTAAGTTACCTTTTTCTGACTGTTTTACTTTGGAGTAAATCTCTGTCACTACTTGTATTCTGGTAGCAGTAATAATGACAGTTGAATAACCTTTAGTGGGATTTTGCACACACACAGTTTTTATTTTAAATTGTAATACTAGTAATACATCAGTCCCAGTATTTAAAACAGATATGAGAGGTTCAGGCAACTTCTGACATAGCTGTCAGTGTTGGCCGAGTCTGGTAAATGCAAAAGGTACGGCCTCAGAAGCAGCAGTAAATGTTGGGTCAGCTGAGGGAACGCTGTACGATGGCAGCCTCACGTCCTCGGTGCAGCAGAAAGCACATGGAGAGCCTGATCCCCTCACCTCCCTCCCAGGTGAATCAGCTCTCCAGGGAGACAGGCAGCAGGAGCTATTTTGGACACTGCAGCCTGTCCCCCAAGGGGAATGTGCCAGGCCTGGTCTGGGAAGGAAGCAGGCAGATTCCCCTCCCAGAGAGTGGTCCCTTCTCTGGGAGAAGGGGCTGTTAGTGCTGCACAGTCTTTATTCAGACAGCTGGTTCTAGTCAGGAAGTACAAACTCATCTTTCACCCAAATGAGTGTCATTTATGAATTATAATATATAGGTTTACTTTCTTACAATGGTTTTAGGAGTTTTTCTTGGCCCTTGATGGTAGAACTTCCATCCAGACACCAAGAGGGAGGCGAGTGAGAACTTCCTCATGCAGCTCAGCTACCGCCTCGATGAGAGTTTTCTCACTGGCAGCAGACCCCTGTGTTGGACCAGTTATAACCACTGAACGGGGTGGGAATCAGTGATTCTTTTGCCTGATTTTTGTCTTTTTTTAAAATCTTTTCAAATTGATTGCTATTTGTGTTTGCAGGACGAAGCTAACAACACTGTCTTCAACAGAAAAAAAATAATATGGAAGAGGAAAGCAAGATAGACATGAATTTAAAAATAAACCACTTTGAGGTGGAAATTGCACAGACATTTCACTTTTGAAAAGCATATTTTCCCATATGCCAAGATGTTTAAAGACAGATATAGTCCATATGCTAAAACAGTTATACCTTACCGTTTCCAGATAAAAAGAAGTCAATTATGCAGAGTTTCTAGATACAAAAATCTATCAGTAGTATTACTAATATTTTGGAAGAATTATAGACTAGTCTGTTTAACTGTATGCATTTAATTACTGACATTGTATAGTAAATCTGTCTGTCTGTTTGCAATAGGCTGGGACAAATGGTTATATGGCTCCGGAAATCCTGAAGGAAGAAGACTACAGCTATCCTGTGGACTGGTTTGCTATGGGCTGCTCTATTTATGAGATGGTTGCTGGACGAACACCATTCAAGGATTTCAAAGAAAAGGTCAATAAGGATGAGGTTAGAAGAAGAACTCTGGAAGATGAGGTGAAATTTGAACATGCCAGCTTTACAGAGGAAGCGAAAGATATTTGCCGACTGTTTTTGGCTAAGAAAAAAGAGGACCGTTTAGGAAGCAGGTATGCCTTCTCAGACTCAGTAAAATGCAGATTAAAGCTGCAAACAGCATCATTATTTTACATATTACACAAAATGGGTTACATCTTCACTTTCTACAGAGTACTGAATTTTCCCTTTCATTTCTAGGAAGAGAGAGGTGGAAAGTTTTGAAGATAATATGGAAATAAGGAATGTTGTTGCAATAGTTTGGTTATCTATCCTCACTTCAGACAACTCTTAGGAGTTCCCTTCTGTTATTTTCTGTGTTAGACTCTGTATAGTTTTGGGGAGAAGGGGGCAACCCATTTTTGTTGCACATTCTTTCCTAAAGGTAAAAGCTATTCAAGTAGAAACCTGCATCTATGCTAGTGCAGACTGAGTACACAATCTTAGGCTGTATCACTTACCGGAATGATGTGGGCAGAAATCCAAATCTGCAATGTGGATTCTCTTCCCTGCAGATATCTAACTTGCAAGGCTGCGTCATTGGCTTCTTGCTGAACAGACTTTAACCCCTCTGCTTTGCTCAACTGCTTTAAAAAAATCTTAGACAGATTCTGGTCTTCCTGACACATCCCGGGGAGAAAAAGGAGGAAAAAAATATTTGGCACAAATGCCTATAAAGCAAAACATTTCTGGGGACTTCACAGGTGGCTTTGGGTTGATGAAGACTGATAGATGTGTCCCTGACTTAGAAATTTCAAGGAACTATTTAATAAGAAGAAAACTGAAAAGCTAAACATTGTAATGTGTAACTTGTCTATCTCTGCTGCCTTTGAGGTGTGTTGGTGTGTATATATATATTTAAATAATTTAGTGCATTTCCAATGAGACAGATTGTGGACAAAATAAAAAATATAATAAAAATGTAAAAAATTAATAGGAAACTGATAGTACCTATCTTTAGAGTACTCTACATTTGAATCATCTATGAATACAAATATATTTATCAGGTGCTTTTCCAGTCTAATGGTGGAATAGACAAAGGATCTTACTGAAAATGCGTAGACTTCTAAATTTATATTTCATAACAACGTGGAACAGTTTTTAAAAATGCTAGGCAAACATTTATCTGAAAGAATTTAATAAAAGGTAATATATCATTAATACACATATCTTTAATATTCTAGTGCTACATGAAGACAGCTGCTCTTTGTGCCTAATGAATTTTCCCAACAACTACGCCAGGCAGCAGAAAAAAGTTATTTTCAACAGCTCATAGAGTATGTTTAATACAAAATCTATATGATTTGAGGATGTTTTAAAAGCTTATTTTAAAAGTAAATTTAACACAAAAACATGTAGAGCGTTCTAACTTACAAGTCAGCATACTTGCAGACATTTGGACTTACAGCATTTTGTGAAGTAAACAAATTTCAGAGTAGGAGAAAATGAATTGAGAGATTCTGAATGACTTGGTCAAGTTCATTCAGCAAGTCTGAAGCAAAACCAGCAACAAATGATTCACTTCCTGTAACCACATCCCCTGTGCCAAGAGGGTCATTTACCATCATTCTCTCTGCTTTTTGTTCCATTCCTTCTCAGCAATGGGAGAAATGTACACAGAAAGGTAACTGCACATATTATTTTTAATTTTCTGCTGTTTAAGATATCCTTATTCTTAGTGCCATAATTAGAGAAGGAAAGCAATAGGATGTATTCCCTTCCTGGGCATGATAGAGAATAAAAGCTTGCATGTACCTCTTAAACAGGGCAATACTATTCAGGACAGCTCATCCTTTTGTAGAGATTAGTACTGTAAATCTACTAAGGACAACAAGAGCTTGGGTTATCTACAGAAGTGCCTGTTGCATAAGTTAAAGCTGCTCAAAGACAGCTTTACTTTGTACACCTGACCTTTTAAAACACTCTTTTATTGAAGGTTCAATTTCACCAGCTAAGGAAAGATGTAACCCCTTTTCTCCACTCAAGCTTTTTGGGATTGACATCTCAAATCCCAAACCTGTAAAGTGACTTTTAAATTTTTTTTTAATGGAAGAATGCAAATTATCCAACTTCGTATGAGTTCATTTGCTCTTCCTGTTAAAGTTACGTAAAAAGACAGTTCACAGAGGAAGAGCTTAAGTTCACCTCCAGCTACGTGGAAGATGCCTCAGTTCCAGTAGATGGCATTCATGTAGCTTTACATTTTTTAACTTTTTATTGTTTCAGGAGGAGAAACACTGCAGCAATCCATTTTGGAGCCTCCACCAGCTTCTAGCGCTTTTTGGTTTCTGTTACAGAAAGGAAAAGTGAAATAAAGGGGAATTTCTGTGAGTGCATCTGCCCAGTAGAATGTCAGTACTACTGGCCCATGAGTGTCCCAGGACATTAGTTAATTGGAACAGCAGCTCTAATGCACTTCAGGCTACCAGTGAAAGTACATATAAGGCATGTCAGGCTGCTCAGGTACTTGGTATCACTAGCTGGGTAAGTTAGGAGATGATTTTGCAAGACTATGTATGTGCAGAGGTCATGATCCCTGTTGGCTTAATCTGTATAATTGCGTTCATATGCCTCTTTTGGGTAGAAAATATCATTTTTTCATTGCCCAGCGTGCCTGGATGGCAGCTTCTCTCATTCTTCAGGCTGTGATTTAGCATTCTAGTCATGGTGGTGTACAGTAGAGAGTGGCTGGTGGTGGCTTGCTCAGAGGAACTGGGCACCAGAGGTGCAAAGTGACAGTGGCAGGGGGGCTGAAAAGGGCAGCTGGTGATTTCATCCTGGCCATGCCTGGGTAGCACCAGGGCAGGCTGGAAGCATGGCAGGACAGCATGGGAGGAACAGGCAGTAGCAGCAAGCTGGAGAAGCTGTTCTGCATGCATAGTACTGAGACCTTAAAAAATGAAGATTTTTCCATAGTGACACAAATGTTCTATATGGTGCTTCTGCACACTTGCAAAGATAAAAAGACTTGCTGAATGTTTGCATTACCTTTTGTTCGTAGAACATTGTCTAGAAATACATGAGTGCTTGCACTTTGCCCAGCATGATTCTGTAAGGAAGAGGGAAAAGCAAAAGCAATGTGTTAGGACCTAACACATTTTCTGAGGCCGAAACCCAGACAAATTTGGTTTTCCTATATTACTGTTTTCCAGAGTGGTGCATTCATAAATACATTTAAAAAAAGAATGCATAGGTGGAAAATACAGTGCTCCTGTCTGCTCCTCTTTTCTCTAGAATTTAAAACTCAGGCTTTGCATACCTTGACACTAGAGGCACAGTTCAACAGCTGTGGTCTTTGGTCATACTTTAGTGAGCACACATTTGAGTCTCAGATGATTCTTAACATTACCATATCCTACTGGTGTCTCTGTGAGTCTACAGTGAAAAAATTCAGTGTTTCTTTTACAGCTAAAGTTCTCCCTGAGGTCTGCAGGTGTTTTTCGTAAGATGTATTTAACTTATGCATTTACAATTATTTAGTCCTCTCTTGGTTTTATAATTAGGTATTAACAATATTAATAAAGGATTGTTTTTGTGACAGTGGCACACATACTTTTGTTAATGTTGTAATCTGTGAATCTCTTGCCTAAAAAAATCTTTGTTCATTTGTAGGAGTATTTATTTTGCATGAACAGAGTCACTAAAAGCAGGAGTGTTTGAGTGACATAACAGTTTTATGATGTAAATGTGTAGCTGCTTTGAATTAAGATAAAACCAGAAATGTCATTTGTCACCAGTTTCCTATTGTTGCTCAGAGTCAGTCTCCAGATATATTAACCCAAGGTACCTCAACCTAGAGTTTAATATATATTCTTACCCTAGATTATAGGATAGATATTCTTATCCTGGTTAATACAGAGGCAGTTGTTGAACTGCCATTTTTGGACAGTAAATCCCAGAGTCCCCCTCCCATCCTGCTCTCTGTTCAGTTCTGGTGGGAATGTATCTTTGGATAGGGGTATCTGAGGTGCAGCACTGCAGCTCCTGCGTGGCACCTTGCCCAGACTGATTTACCCTGAGAGGTGGAGCAGTGAGTAATGGGATCAGAGTGTTTTCTGCTTCTCAGCGCTGCTCGTATTGTGCAATGCAATGTTCTTTGGTTAGGAAAAAAGGAATTGTGTTGCATTATATATATATCTATCTCCTTATTTTAAAGTACCCTCATGTATAAAACACAGACACACCTGTACCTCTCTGAGAACAAAACATCCCACTGATTAACAAACTTTTGCTTTATTGCAGGAATGCGGACGATGACCCAAGAAAACATAATTTCTTCAAAACGATAAATTTCCACAGGCTAGAGGCAAACCTTATTGACCCTCCATTTGTGCCAGATCCATCAGTTGTCTATGCCAAAGATATTGGAGACATTGCTGACTTCTCTGAAGTACGAGGAATTGAGTTTGATGACAAAGATAAGAAGTTCTTCAAAAGGTTTGCGACAGGTGCTGTCCCTATACCCTGGCAGGAGGAGATCATTGAAACGGGACTGTTTGACGAACTGAATGATCCCAACAGAGTCGAGTCCGGAGGCTACGCCAACGGAGGCGAAGCTAAGTCAGGAGTTTGTTTGTTGTTGTAAAAATCGTATCGTTATCAAAGAGTAGAAACCACCTCCGAACTTTCCGTGTTCTGACGCTGTGTCAGAAACTCAGTGCACCTGTTTGAGAAGAACCAACCAGTGCAATGTGACATTGGCAGGCTATGTAGGACGACCAGCAGTATAGACTGTATTATTTGCCTTTGTTCTAACAAAGGAGATAATATTTTTGTGTTATTGGAGATGTATCAAATGAAGAACCGTATTTCTCCAAGAAACTTAGAATAGAAATTCTGGAATACAAAAAAGCAGTGATAGAGTGAAGAGGCAACAGCTTTTGAAAATGCCTGATTACCGTTTTGAATACAATGATTTGTTGGTTTTCTTTCTTTTTTCTTGCTATTTCTACTAACATTTCCTTGTTCTGCAGTTTTCAGGAAGGATTTTTTAATTTTCGAGTAATATTCTCAGTTAGACAGTGGAGCTCACGTACCATGTCAAACTTGGAATCTTATTGGTTAGCCAGTCTGTCTGTTGTTTTCTTAAGTTCTGTTAGTTTTTGGATGGTTTGATTGTAATATGTTCAAGTTGTCATAAAATATAAAGAAAGCTCTACATATCATTAGAAAATAAGAACGACACGATCAGACTATTTTCAAAGTTGATTTTAATGAAGTGAAGATAAGATTGCACCAAATCTAATGGAATAAAGCATTTATTTATTATTATTAAGTGTATTCTTTTAAGTGATAATACCATACACAAAGAAAACATTTACACATTCTCTTTGACAATTTTATACTTTTATCAGGTTTCCTGCTAATTTTTCTGTATTTTGGTGATAAATTAAGCTACAGATAGACCAAAGCAATATGTTATTGGCTTTTTACAAGACATTTATTTCAGAGCAATATAGGTTTTAATTCAGTAGTTGCAAAATGCATTATACTGTTAAGTGCTGTAATGGTGGAAAGGTTATGTATGCAAGTTGAAACTATCTTCAAATGTTTATTGATTCTCATGCAAATTTTGATGTGTTTTTGTTTTTCAATTTTATGACAACCTAAATTGAATTAATTGGAAACATTTCTGTGAATACTTGCTACTGGTGAAGTGTATTACTCATGAGAGGCCTCCTGCTGATTTTCTGTGGTAAGAAAATAGGCAGTAGTTGTTTGCACAACTTCTAAAACTGATCCTGCATGCTGGTTATGTCATCCATCCAGCCACAATTTCCATTGACTAAAGTGGAAGTTGAACCTGCTTCATTCCTTGGAGTCCTGGAGGTTGCTGATGCCCCGTTTTCTGTTTTTCATATGGCAAACCCCCAACTGAACTCAAAGACCTCCATTACAGAGACATTGGGATTGAACCCACACATCTGTTTTAGAAGAGGAAAACCAGTATATACGATGTCTTCTATAGTCAGGTCTGTCATGTGCATAGCTTTAGTATTTATTTATAATCTAATAACTCATCCCAAACATTGCAATAAACAAAAACTCCTTAGTTTTAAATACTTTAAGTGATTTAGTCACAGCTAAGAAATACATTGGTAATACAATGTGTTGTTCTAAGCAAAGAAAATAATTGTTCTTTTTTTCCTTTCAAATTTGCTTTTCCAGTGCTTTATATACTTAATGTTCAAATGAAAATCGTGAAGAACAGTGCTACTTAGGATTAGTGGATAATTCTGTTCATTAATTATGAGCATATAATTGTCTGCCTTTTGAGCAGAGACTTTCTGTCAAAGAGTTTAAAACAATGTAAGCTGAATTCTGACTTGATCTTTTAATTGAGAAGGGTGATCCTGAAAGATTGTGAAAAGCAGAGGAAGTTGGAAGGAGTGTGATGTGGTTCTGGCATGGATTTAGGAGAGCACTTCCACTGCTGACATCCACTGATTTTATTTCTTATTGCTCCCATCTGCAGAAAACTCTCACAGAGTGGTATTAGGCTAATATATTTAAGAAATCAAGACAGAAAACTTCATCATATATACGTTTTTTAAAAAACAAAGCAAAACACAAAACCACACAGAAACTACAACCACCCCCACCACATTATTACAGCTAGGAGAGACCTGTTAGTCCTAGTGGCATCAAACTTTTGTCCTGAACTGATACACCTCAAATCCATAGAAATGCTGTTTCACAAATCCTCCAGAACCAGAAAGCAATACTCTGTAAGGTTTCCATTGCATAACTAATTTTTCATTATATACATGGTCCCCTTTGGAAAGAGGTTATATATAGACAGAACCAGAACTTAATGTCTTGTTTGAGTCACATATCCCCTGTGATACCAGGTGTTGCAAGTCTGGGTTTTTCAAAATGTATTGCAATACCGAGATGTGTGAATTCAGGATGCTATGGGCACATAATGTTAGGTTATTTAGCTTTAGAAATGTTATGGTGTCACTAAATCCCAGGATGTGTATCACTGAGATACCATAATGTTAAGTGTCTCATAAATCATTCAAAGTAGCACATCAGAAGTCTGGTAATGCACAGTTTGGCACAGTGTGTGACAGAGAAGAATGTGTTAGTTTGAAATACTCATTTTAATGTTTTTAAAATTCTCCTTCACAGCATGAACAACTTCTCTTTGCACTATGGAGAGAGGGGCAGGGCAAAGATTATTTCTGTATTCCTGTTAGAATTTTCAGTGGGTCTTTAAAAATTAACTTCATGTTTTTTTTAAGGAATTTGTGAAATGCTTGGTTCTTTTGTTCTTCCTGCCACTGTAGAGTTCCTTGATAAACTTTCAGGAGCAAAGTTACTTAACAACCTGCCTCACCTTAACAAAACAAAGCCAGCAATCCCAAAAGATTTACATGTTCAATGAACTGTCTTACTGCAACCAAGGATGCTACTCACGTGAGTAAACTTGAATGTATGTGCAAGTGTTGCAAGATCAGGGCCCAAGACAAAAGTATTGATCGAGACATTGGATGTTTATGGTAGAAAAAGAGGGATGAATTTGTGGGAGGAAAATAACCTTGTGGTTGTGAGTTGAGTTCTTGTGGCAAAAGAAAATTACGTAATTTGAAACTGCGATTTTTTTCTTTCAGCTGTCTCTCTTTTTCCTGCTTTGCCAGCTTTGTGGTGTCTCACTTGGCTGCCTCTTTTTGCAGCAGATAAGATGCATTCAAGTGTTAATCTAATTTAAAAAACTAAATTGCAAACTCTATTGCATTAAATGCCATCTGTGTAAGGTTACAGAGTGCCCTGGCCACTCTGCAGGGTCTGTACGACCAGTGCTGTCTTTCCTGCCCAGTTTTACTCAGTACAGCTCTTAGAACTGCTTGATAATTTGAACTGTACAAGCCTGAAATGGGAGATTTGTAGCAGCTTGAAATCTGTTCTTGTAAGAACATCATTTAAAGCTGGACAACACTGAATAAACACTGCTGGCTCTGAGAGGTATAAAAGGAAGAACTTTCTGTTGTATCTCAAGTCCAAATTTTCTTTGATACTATCCCTGTTACCATTATTCCACTAATTTCACTGAGCACAGAGACAAAATGATGTTTGGCATTAATGTTAACCTTATGAAATCACTGTTCACAGAGATTATTTCTCAGTGGTACTGGGTACCTTCAGTTGTTTCACGGTAAAGGCTCATTTTGTCAATAAATACCTTGTGCTGCAGCAAGTAGTTCACTTTTCTATTGCAATATGAAATAGATTTAGTGATTGGAACCTGCGGGCAGATTCCAGGCTATGGGGTAGCATCTGTATTAGGGAAGGCAACTTTACATTCAGTTAAGAGCATCTTAGCAAACATAATACTTGAGGTAGTTATTTCTTCAACCATAAACAGATGCAAAACAGAAGATGAGATCTCTGGTTAGAGCAGATGCCTGTAAATGTGCAGTTGTAGTTAAAAAGTGATGCATGGTTTTATGGACTTTTAATATCAGCATAGGTTTTAGAAATGACATGCTTATAATACTGTATTTAACATACTGTTGCTTTTACAGCATTTAATGATATATATGTAACATTTTTCTCATTTGAATATCCACATCTATGATTAGAATGAGTATGTTCATGTTATTTACCTTAAAAAATATAAATTGCTTCTTTGATGTTATGACAATAATTTTTATCTTTTTATTATTAGGTTTTTAATACTAAAATACTTAAATTCTTTTATTTATGCGGTAATGAATTGTAAAAAAGTATTTTAATTATGCATAGTATTTTTTCTCTATAATAGGATTTCAATTAAGAATTAATATCTTAGCAACTGTGGCTCATAGCACCACAAAAGCACTGGAAAGCCTACCAGTTCTGGGACTTCTGCTAAAAGCAAAGCATACATTTTTCCCAAGTGACAAACACATCAATTTTGAAATCTGCAGATAGAAGAAATTACTGGTACTTTATAGTCTGAGATCTGACACATGTAATGTGATGGGCAAAGGTCCCCTATGGTCAGTGTGGCTTAGGGAGTGCATTTGAAACTTTGCATTACAGTGGCCTTGGGGAGCTGTACAGGCACAGTGGGGAGTGCCTGGACAGAAACTGAAAACAAATGCAATGAAGCATATGACCTTTTATGATGAGGTACTGCATTATTACAGCAAATATCTCTCAATCTAGTATTTAATTTTTAAAAAATAGACCAAAAAATTAATGTTTCATAGGAAATCGTTCGGTGTTTCTCTGAATTTCATTTATATAACTGTCTGAACCTGAGCAGAGCTAGTATAAAATTCTTACTGCTTACCTCTCTGCCTTTGCAAAAGTGTGAATAAATAGTGTTCATAGGGGAGTGGCAATCTTGTGGGCATCTCTTGCCTGGAAAAGAAGAAGAGCAAGAACACAGGGGGTGGCACTGTGTCTCTTGGAATACAAGTACCTTCATCCATGGGAAAATGTGCCTGGCGATATCTGTAGGTAGCACCATTCTCTTAAGTTCATTTCCTTTTATATGGCATAGCATATGGTCCTTACATTCACCCCAGTTGTGTACCCTCTTCTGTCACCTCCTGAAGGCTGGCACAGTTCTGAATGAAGCCCCATAAACTTTCAGAGAAACTTAATGTTACTTCTGTAGCTTGGACAGACAAAAGGTGCCATAAACAATAGCTGTCAACACCATTGCAGTCAAGTGCTACTCCAAGTGGTGAAAGGCTTTTGGAGGGAGAAACATGGGAAAAAAAAAAACCCATGAGTCTCTTTGGAAGGGCTTCTGGGTATCTTAGGTCTATTCCTATCCCTCTGACAACTTCAGGGCAGCTGCAGTGGTTAATTCCTCCCTTTCCTGCAAGCACAGTCTGGTTTAGCAGTTATTTTATCCTGTGTATGCTCTTTATCCATGCTTTTCAATGTCTGAGCTTTGTTAGTAGGTCAGTCCTTCCAAGTGTTTTGTTTTCTGGTTAATGTACACCAATATGGTGCTATTGTGGTGTTCAGTAGAATGACTTAAAAAGAAAGAAAATTTTCATTTTTCTTTTGTGCACAAGCATTATGTGAAGTTAAACACAACTAATTAATTCTGACATGTGCTTTATCAGTTGTTCTTTACCAAACCTACATGTTGGCCTATACAATTCATTGAAGTTGTTCTGACAGTTACATTTTACAGAGTGGAAAGATACAGCGAGGCTGAACGCCACACTGTGTACATGTCCTTATGATGGGAGTTCCTCATGATGAATGTTTCCGTGATTCATGTTTTTATAAAGAATGCCAAAGGGATGACTATGGATATATCACTTGTCATAACTCGTAGTTCAGTTAACAATAGTGGAGTAACTGTTTAAAAAAACAGCTATTGTACAGGAATGTTCAGTCATGTTTTCTTTGCAATACTTCATGCAAGCATGACATGGGATGTGCTAGATGTGTCTCGTGACTTTTGGATCGCTGGAGTAAAAGGGCTACTGCAAGTAAGAACAGATTTGTTAATCAGTCCTGTCCACAAGCATTCCTACAGCAATACATGCTGTTCCCACTGAACACCTTTTGGACAGCGGTGAAAGGTTTCTTTTAATTGCATTGCTGCTCTGCAGTGCTTAGTTACAGTTCAGTCTGTGCAAATACATTGATGGAACTACAAAGTCAGAAATTTTTTCCATAGCCTGGACTTCTCAGAAGGATGTAGAGCAGAGCATATCACCACAGTGGTTGCTTCTGACATCACCAGCATGTAAGCAAGAAGTGGCTTTGGGAGTATGAAAGCAAACCAAAACAAATCCCATTGCCCAATGGATGGAGTCAGTTTGGTCCCACTGTTGGGAACAGCTTCTCTGGATCCAGTGGCAGTAAAGCTGGTTCCTGATAGACAGGAATAATCAGAGTGGGACCAGTGAGATAATGTCAGCAACAGGACCAAAGGGAGCCCCCTAAAGCATTCCTGTTTGTGCCCTTCCTTGTCTGAAGGAATTAGATTCATAGTAAAAAGTATGGATCCTTTTTATCATTATCAGTAACAAAAACATCATGATCATAAAGAAGAACCACTAGTACCAATTACCAATTTAGCCTGTTTCTCTGTAATAACTGGAGGGAGATGCCTGATTTACAAACAAGCCCCAAAGAATTTTGATTCTATTCCCAAAACATAATACCAACAGGATGTAATGAACAACAGGAGGAAACTCTGTTGAAGTTGTACAGGACAATTGGCAGAATAGTAATCTCAAATATGGTATCTGGCTTGTAAATCTGTTTTAATCTATCCTAATTATGCAAGAACTACAAAGCTGATTTGAAAATAGTCATTAAGCAAAGAAGTTTTTTCCGATGAATACAGGAATTTTTTCTTTTTATTCTTTCCAAGGTATGTTTCCTTCCTTCCTCCAGACTGACTTCTATGCTATTCCCCATTAGAACTTGATACATTAATGCAATTCTGCAAACAGATAAGAGGCTATTTTTGGCCCCAAAACTTTGATGGAGTTGGTAAAAACAGAGCTACCTTGAGAAAATAATGAGACATCAGCAATGAACTGGTGTCCAAAAAGATGAAAAATATGAAATCAACATATATCAAAAATTAGGCTATAATTTAAGAAATATTTTTTTAAGCAAGGACGAGATATTTTAACTCACATCAGTTCCTTGGTACAATTACTGTACATGTCTATAAATAAAATGTATCACTGGTGCAGGCTATTTTAATCAGCATCCACATAATAATAAATATTCATCCTAATATTAAGTAAGGTTTGAAGACACTGATCTACATATCTTGCTGCCCAGAGTGAAGGGAAAGACTTAATGCTGGATATTTGATTACAACAGCTAAGCTGTGCTGGCAACAGCATGTACAAGTATGTAAACTTTTGGTTTCCCACGCTTACTTAGTGAAAGTGAGAAATGATAGTGCTGGAATCTGGAACCCAGCACCAAACTAATCAGCTGTCAGAGCACTCTTGCATAAAACCTTTCAAGTTTAAGGTATCAGACTAAAAAGGATGGACTCTCTGAGACTTGGTGTAATGATTCTGTAGTTATGTATCTATCGATACTCACATCTGGTTTTATTTGATAAATAGCAAAAGCAGCACCATTCTCAGTACTTTTTGAAGAAATGTGGGCAGCTATGTTCTATAGCTGTATTGCTCATGGCATCTTTTCATCAAGTACAGGGGAAGAAATCAGAAAATGTGCTCTTATTAAATTGTAAGGATAGTTTGTACACTTCTTAAAATAATCCAATAATGATGTATCGTCTGATACAACCTAAGAATCAGTAATTTCTCATCCCATAATGAGAATTCTACTCCATTACATCAAGCAGTGGATTAATGTTCAAATACTGTTTTTCCTAAATTCTGTGCTCCACGTGATTTTCCCACTTCTGCAGTTCACATTTTTGCTCCTCTCCCCATCTTTCTGTGTCAATACTAAATCAAAACATTATATTCTTTTTGATGTGGATGAAAATATGGTGACAGATGCTGGATGAAAAGTCCTATAATTCGTGAACTCATAACCCTAATGCAGGATCTACTCCCAGAGAACTAAAACTGAGTATGTGCTCTAATATTTGGTCCTTCTAAAGGCTCCATGTTACACCAGTTCTGGGCAGGGAAAAGAGTAAAGAAATGGATAAGCTCTTCAGAATTTTCCATATGCCTTGTACAGAGAATAGTGGATCAAGTGTTTTAAACAAGGAAAGGAAGGAAACTTTGATTTCTTGCCAAGAGATTGAAACCTCCTGATCTCTTGCCAAGATGGTTTATTTTGCTGCCAGCAGTTTCCTCACCTTAAACAGCTCCTTTTGGTCTATAAAACTAACAGCAGGGAACAAGGCTCTGCAGAATGGCAGTGCTGGCAGAATCTGCTCTAGTCAATGTGTGGACCAATTCACTTTCAAATTTTGATATGTACCAGAAAACACACCCAGTTCCAGGCAGGGGTGACCTCAGGTGATCCCTAACCAAATTTTACTTTTTTCTCCAAGTACATGAAAGTTGCTGGTGTTGTGAATGTTGATCTCTTACTGCACAGAAAATATTTAACTGCTTTTGCTATTGAATAAAATATGACCCTGATTTTCAGGATTCCACATATTCTGGTTTTTTGGGGGTTTTTTTAAATGTTGAGATTTACCAGATTTAAGAAACTGAGCTCATTTGAAGTGAACACATCAGTTCTGAAACTTGGCCTCCCTCAAAACTGGTGAGTTACTGCAGTTACATCATGTCCTTGGTGTTGATATGAGTGATTTCAGAGCAGTCTCTAAGCAGACATGGAGCACAAGTTCTTAGATATTTTGCTTATCTTTTTTCAGTGAGAAGAAGAAGAAGAAGAAGATGGTAAGCTCTGAAGTTAAAGGTTGGCCATGGATACTATACCACAAGGTTTTTAGTTTTATTATGCTAATAGGCCTGGGACCAGACATGTGTGATCAAGTTATCTGCTGTGGGGTAATAAAGCATAAATCCTGGGCACCCCTTCAGCCTCTTGTCCCAGTCATAGTTATGTAAGGCTAATTAATTAAGGCATTGATCAGCTACAGGTATCTACTAAATAGAGGGTAAGTTTTTATTTGGAAAATTATAAATTGAAACAATAATGGAAATTACTAATTTTGAGGGGGAGGAAATTGTAATTAGTGAGCTGTATTAGCAAACATCTTCCAGTTTGTGTCTGGATGGACACAGGGATAATCTGTTATTCTGAGATCCATGGAACAGTCACCGCTCCAGACTGCAAATTGTTGTTTTGAAATGACCATGATCTTGACATTATCTGAAAAATAGACATTTAAAATCAAGTTAAGACAGGATAGGCAGGACCTTAAATCTTCACCATAATCAGGAGTGGCAGTAAATGCATTAATTGTGTTTTGTTCCTGCAATCTTCCGGTAAGGAAAAAAATAGACCCGTTCTGTAAAAGCTATTATTTTAAATGAACAATGACTTTTTTCTTTTTTTTCTTCCAATAGCAAGAGAGGATATGCTGTCTGAATCTTTTTTTTCCCTTGGAAATACTTTCTAACTTATAGTAAATCAAGTGAGCAACCCTCTATTAATTTGTTTTTTCCTTTATATAGCTGATAAGAGAATGAAGAAATAATGTTTCAGACCTTGACACATATCTCTGGGTCACTTAAATTATATGAAAATATTTGGACTGTTTAGAAGAAACTAATTTATTTTGTAATAGTAAGTGAAAACATTTATGAAGCCTCCAGCTACCAGGCAAGAACTGCAACATCCAACTTAATGGTGCACACAAAGCTGACTGCAATGAACGTCTGTGTATCCATCCCCAGAGGGATGGTTTACCTACCCATTTCTCAGTTGCTCAACATACAATTTAAAGACTACTGCACAGTCATTTGTATAGTTTTCTGTTTCTAGTGAAAACAAATGGTTTTGTCAACTTAAAGGGCTTTCATTTCACTGAAGAAGCAAAGCAATGGGGAGGGAGACACAAGGAGGCACTTAAACAGCTTGAGAGCACAGTATATGTGCTCAATTAAAAAATACTTTCTTTTTTACAAGAGTCTCTGTGGTCACAGATGCTTATCTGTAATTCTGAGTGATACCCTAAGGATTTTTCTGGCTATTCTGCTGCTTCGAGTTCAGAAAGCAGCATTTTTATTTACTTTTTGCTTAATGTTAACCCTTTTTAGAGCAGGGAAAAGTCTTAAAGAAAAAAATATTTTTAACTATATGGGAGGACATACCCTTTTGAAAAAACATGGTCCCTCTGTTCTGATTTGAGCAACAGGCATAAGCTCTAGTGACAAAACACTTCAGATTTCCAGATGCCAAATTGATTTATTCTGAAATAAGTAGCTGAAAAACAAAACAAGAAGTGTACTGAACCCAGCACTACTTGACTCAAACTGCACACAAACTTAGAAAAGTGAGTAATATGAAAGAAGGAATTTTTTTAATTAATAGGAATCTTAATCAGATAATTTTCTCTAGAAATTGATTAATAATGTATGATTTGACCCAAAAGAAGTGGAAATCTTATGTCTACGAAACAAGAGTATGTATGTCACAATGGGATTTTATCTCTGTTGGTATTACAGAAATCAAGTTAGAAAAGAAGATACTCTATTTTGTTTCAGAGTTTACAATTCTAGCATTAAAACCAGGAGAAATGTCTGTATGATTAATAATGGAGATCATATGTGACTGTTCAAGACATCTACGGCTGGAAATTTATCTCCTAGGTTTAGTTTTTAAATGAACCTTGCTGTGTTTTTACTGCTGCTAAACTGCTGTTGAAGAACAATTCAACAGAGAATGTACTAAAATAGAAAAGAAAAATCTGCAGTAGAAGTATTATGGTTAAATTGATTTCAGAAATTAAATTTACTCTTGTTGGGAATATAGATCATAATGCATGTCATTAGCATTTTTAGCTGATTGTTCTATTTACATATTCATAAATATAATTTTCATATATTATATCGTATATTTATCACTTTTAACTGTAGTCACCAAAGGCTTTAAAGCAGACCAACTCAGTCTTTTTTTAAAGTTGAACCTGCTGAAAGAACCCAAAAGGTTCCCATCTCTGAAGTGAGATGATATTAGCACACAAAACAACAAACACAAGCAAGAATTCTTTACAGAGAAAGCTGAGGCTTATCAGTGGAGTTGGATTAAAAAGTTTGCAAGTAACCTCCTGGCCAGTGTGCCTTACGGGGTGAACTGCTCAGTTTTGCCTTCCAGTTGGGCAGCTTTCAGCAGCCTCCTAATGCATACATAGTTTACACAGCTCCCTGTTAGAGAAACATCCTTATTTCTAGGGCTGGTTCTGAGCCCTTTCCCTGCTGCCAGCAAACCCTGTTCATTCCAGCGTTCCTGCCTGCTGTGCCTCTGCCCTCCCCACCCTCTGCTCCAGAGCTGCTGCTCCAGAAAGGTCAGTGCTTCTCCAGGCTGTTCTCCTCTCCCCAGAAGGCTGCAGGAGAAGGAACAGGGTAGTACAGCTCGCTGTGCCATTCAGATAATACATGCATGTACAATCTCTGCATAAGCCACAAGCAAAGTAAAAGCCTGTACAGTAAATACAATCTTTGGCTCATCATTAACTCTTCAGTGTTACTTTCCCATCTGTACATTAATCACAGGTTAAGAAGTCTGCCCCAAATGTAATTGAAATGGAAGGACAATGGCGAGAGAAGAATACTCAAAGCTTTGTAAAAAAATGCAATGCATAAAATTAAAATTATTTTTGCACAGAGATACGAGCTGTTCCAAAGTTAACAGCTGAGATTGCAAATGTGGTTTTGCTATTGGCGCCCTTTCTATAGCAGAAAGACACGAAACCTGAATCCCCACTGGCTTCCCCCAAATCCAGAATTTCTTAGGTCTGTGATCAAGAACATTGTTTAGCAATAATTGCTGGCAGTTTTGTATGCTGCATAAACAATTCCTCTCCCACCTAAATACAGAGTTTCTAATTTGTGGCTTGCTTGTCTTCCAATTTACTCCAGGGTATGTATGTATGTATACACACAGCAGTGGATGCAGATAAGATGAACTAGGTTTGTATCTTGGTAATATGAATTATTAATGATTAAGTGAAGTGACCTAATTTAATACAAAGTTTTGAAATTAATCCTCCTTCTAAGAATATTTTAAAATACAGAATGCATATTTAGAAGACATATGGTAGCTGCCCTACCTTGACTTCACAGTGGGTATTGACACAATGACTTAGAATCTAGCAAAACATCTGCTCTCATTGAGATCATCTCAACCACTTGACAATTACCAAAGAGGAGGGAACAGACCAAATTGTATTTCATGGTCAAACTTAAGGCAGATGTTTAGTATTTCCTGGTGTGGTATTTATTTGAACACTGTTTGGGGCATTATATAATAGATTTGAGAAATCAGCTCTATAGCATACATTGTGTTAAGAGTATGAATTCACTGCCTACAGTTTACACAAATGACCATTTTCTCTGCAGTCACTTAAGTGTTTTAAATGCAATTTAACTCTTATTTTTCTGCTATAGTTATACAGGGCAGTCATTCCTTTCAAGTATTCATTACTAACCTTTAATAACCTTGTTAATAACCTTTGTTGTGTCCAAATTTCAGAAACCCAGCTTGACGTGAAGTGCAAGGATAGTATCTGTACATCAGCCTTAAAACTCTAGGTGTGTGCAGTGCAGTGCCCAGCTATCTTAGTTTGTGTTGAAATGCTGAGAACAGTCTCCATAGCACATGGGAAGTACAGTTCCTTCACCAGCTTCACAAATCACCTTTGACACACAGAAACTGCACTGTGATTTCTGCCAGAAATCACAACCAGATTTGCTCCTTAGGATGGCTGTAAGTACTTTCTTTTATTCATGTTATGGAATTATATTTTCAAAAATCCATTCCTGTGGCCCCAGATTTGTTAACAAATAGATCTCTCAGTTACAATCAATATGTCTTTGGTCTGAGCATTAGAATGTGCAATTACGTTTGCCCATCTATGCAGATGGGCTTTTATTGTAAATTATCTTGTCTTTCTTCTGATAGCAAACAATTTAGCAGATAAATAAAAAATGAAGATTGATGGTATTAGAGCACAAAGTGCCCATTACAATTACAGCAACAGAGAACTGCAATAAAAAAGACTGTAGAACATTTCAGTCTATGTTTTAATATGATTTGTTTGTAGTTTAAGATTTTATTTTCTCATAGGCTCTATGATTATAGGTATCTGTGATTATAACAGACTACATTTTGACAGGGTTTTCTTTCAATTTTTCAGTGAACTATATCCTGGTTCTTCTACTCAAAACACTTCCATTTGTGTATGGGAAGTATCTCTCCCAGCACGTGGAGAAGATACAGCAGTTTTGCTTATTATGTGAGCACTCAAGTGTGGATTTTTGTTGGTTTTGTCTGCAGTATGAATCTGAAAAAAAACCTTCCCCAGCCACTATGTATTAAAAAACTTGTATTTTACCATCATCTTGTAAGAACCACTGTTGCCCTTAAAGTATATAGAGATCAGCTAAATGTTCTGGTTTAAGTATAGTTTCCTTTTAAAGGACTGCATCTGGCAGTAGGAGGCAGAATAAACATTTTTGATTGTATTATGATTAGGAAGCAATGAAAAGGGAGGCCTGTTGTATCTGCTTGTTTAAGTGTGAGAGAAATTGGAAAATACATTTTAAAACTAATTTAAAACCTTTATTGGTGGCCCTTTGGGGGAAATCTGCTAGCATTTACTGGGAATTAAACATGCAGGAGCCTGTAGAATCAAAAGAAATGGGCATATGGATCCAATGTAGCTCTGATTCTTTTATATTATTCCTATAATATTTATTTATAAACCTGTGTTATAGACTACAAAGTGTATCTACTGCTCTTTTGAAACCACAGATAGTTAAAAATCAACCAAAATCAACTGCTGAGAGTTTATAATTTTGTTTAAAAGGATTCGATAGTTTGCTGTAGGGAGGTAGTATAATCTTACCAAAAATGCTGTAAAAAAGTCAGACCAAAAATAGAGTAATGGTGGAATTCCCACACATTCAGACCAGAAAGAAAATGCTGACTGTCATTTTCCATTTTCAAAAGTTCTTCTTTTTTCAACTTCCTCTTTCAAAATCATATAAATAAACAGATTGACTGCCTAGCATAAAAAGTGGACATTATCTCAATTTGTAAGCCTTGTGACTCTCTGTGGACATTCCACAATTGTACTTACTATAGGGATACTCCCTACAAATGAATTTATCAGGAACAGATGGACGTAGGGCTTAATGGAAAAAATGCTGAGCATTTGCAGTATCATTTGTGGTTAAGGAGAGGAGGAAGGTGGTGAGCTTTTTAACAACTCTAGCTCTCAGGGAGGGACAGAAATACTCACGAAGACTTAATAAATAACCTCAGATAAATAGATTGGTTAAGAGCTGTTCCTATACACCATTAAATATTAAATATTTTTATAACTTCAGTTTGATGTCACCATCACTAAGGTGTATGTATGTAACACACACTATTTGGATTAGGAAGTAAAACAGAACATACCCAAAACAAGTAGATTACAATACATTTTAACAGTTAAAGGGGAACTACATTTCAACGGTTTATATAATACTGTGAACTTTCTGCTAAACAGTACATAAAAGCTGGCTTGCTATAATTTTTTTTTAGCTAATGTATGCTCAGAAGGACTAATAATAGGCCTTGTGAGTCACAAGCATTCATTAAGTAAGCCACCAGAGTTTAAAAAACATAACAGTTGAGATCCAGTCTGTTTGAAGTGAACAAGTAAATTAATATGTTTTAAGAAATAGTGACTCTTTTAAAAACACTGTAATAATACCCCTCTAAATATTTAAGATTCTTTATTCTATGCAAAACCAGCACGTTAATTACTGGATTAGCAAGAATATCTTTCAAGACCAAACTTGAACCCATCTTGTAGATTTTGAAACACATTTGGAATGCTTGACTCCCTCACAGTGGTCCCAAGGGGAAACGTGTTACTCTCACTCGTGTCTGGTTTCTGGAGAAGGCACAGTTCCGACACAGCGTTTGGTTTTCAGTCAAGAGCTGCTTTTTACTCCAGTTATCCAGCTGGCTTGATATGGGTACAATTAAATCAAATGATTTGTTCAAGATCACTAAGGGAATTAGTGACTTGACTGGGGGAAGAAAGTTGGACTGGGAAAACTGAAAATACTAGTTCCCATCGTGGGACAATTTCTCAGTAGCATTTAAGTAAATTAAGGGGCAACCTATTGTATTTCAGAGTCATCTGCACAAACTGCTGCATTGTATAGACTAAATTTACATCAGTGGGAAAATGTAGATGCAGAAGGAAAACAGAACAAAAAAAATGAACACTTTCATGTGATAGATATCTTAACAGACACATCAGATAAAGAAAAGTTTAAATTAAAATTTGTCTTCCAAAGCTTTTTGGTTTTTAGGTATCACTTTTAGAGGAAAAGTTTTTAATGAGTCTTTCTTGCTCGTCTTTAGTTGTGTACTAGCCAACCTTTAAAAACTGGTTTCTTTTCCAGGACTTTTCTAATTTACAGGTGTTCTTTGTCTTTGTTGTTGTTGTTTAATTATATTTTCCTTTTCCCATTTTTTAACAACCTAGAGACATGTCAGTACTATGATGAGACTATCATGTCAGTATGATACCACTTCTTTTATCAGTAAGATTAGATGAATGCAAAAGACTTTTCCCTGCTGCATGCATTGATTACTGATAAGATTAAGAAGTTGTCATCTTCTGTGATAACAGAAAGCAATGACATATTAGCATATTAGCTCACAATTGCCATCATAAAATTTGGTGGTAAAGGAATAATGAAATTTAGTATTTTCTAATATGTCTTCAAGGGCAGAACAGAACGCTCCAGCAAGGACAGAGACTCCTGCAATTGCTTTCTACCCTCTTCCTCTTTCCAAACCTGACCTCCCTTCTCTAGGCCTTTCATTGCCTCTAACATCAATTTTTCAACAGTTTTTTGTCTTCATATACTCTTCGTTTCAGCCTCAGTCTCCTGCCTTAGCCAGTGCTGGCTTTCTCCTTGGCTTGCTGCCTGAGTCCCCTGCTGAACTCAGGATGTGGTTCTGCCAATCTAATTGTGGGCTGCTACTGAAAGGGGTAGTCCGTCCCATTCCTCCTACTGTCTGTCCTGATCTCCCCTGTGAGCTGAGTCAGGGAACTAAACTTGTATAGATCCTTTTCTTTCAGTTCAGCTCTCCTAATCAGGTCATCATGGGGTAAAATGAACACATGCTAAAAATCACAGTCAGGGTTGGAAGGGACAGTGGAATAGGGAGAGGAGGAGGGACTATTGTCTTACAGCAGCACTTGATAATTAATGTGATTTTCATCATTAAACTTAATTTTCAGCCCCAAACTCCTCACCCTGTCTTTCCCGTGCTTCATTTTCCCTCTTTATCCCCTCTTCTGAATGAGTTCCCATTTGCTCCTTCCCTTTCTGCTCCCTTCCCAGAGACATCCATCAACTAATGCCAGCTGTTTTGCCCAGCTGCTTTTTTCTGCATCAGTCCAGTACTTCACTGATGCAGCACAGACAGACCTTACCAGTATCTGCCTGTGGTCCTTCACTCAATTGCTGTTTACAAAGTATTAGCTCAAGAGGAGAGAAAAATGTTTAGCAATTAAGACATACCTCATTTTTACAAACTTCTCTTAAACCAGCTTTAACTAAGAAGCTCTTTTACTTGTCCATGAAAACAAAAATCTGAAACTGAACTCTGACTGCATGTGTTATAAAATGGATGAAAACCCCAACAGTTATGAAATTCCTACAAATTGAGCTTTCCTCACTTTGAACCCTTTGTATTAAAAATAAGCAGTGAAATAGTTTTCAACAATAGTTAGAGGCTCTTGTTCCTACTGTAAACAAATGCTGAATATCTGGGCAAAAGTCTCCTCTGCGTAATGCAAGTCAACTCCCATTGACTTCACAGGAGTTATGGTGCTATATGAGAGCAGAATCCTGTCTCTGTGAATAAAGGAGTTTTTTCAAGAGTGAGGGGGCTCTGCACAATGAATGCATTTTTACCAGCCCTTTCTGATGCATTGGCAAACTCCCAAACACAAGAACTGTTTCTGTAGTCTTTCTACTCTCACAATGACACACATTTTCTTTTTCATTTTTAGTGGGAAGTCTTTTGTATTTTTTTTTTCTCATGAAAATGTGTGTCTTATGTTTCTTGGTATTTTGTACAGTGAAGTGGAAAGTATTTCTCAGTCATAGTATTTTTTAAGTTGGTCTTTCCTGAGTTTATCATGTATCTTCTAATTCCAGCTTAAAACTTAGCTGAAGATAAAGCAGCAGATTTGAGCCTGATGCATACGTCTCTTGCAATTCAAAAGCTGCTTTGAAACGAGACTGGGCAGGCTCCTGTGGAGGTTACAGCAGCCCCAGGGAGCTATCCAAGTGGTGCCAAAGTTGTGTCATGCTGTGGTCCACCCTAGACCCAAACTATAAAAGAAGGGGGTGGCTTTCTAATCTTCAGGAATTCTCCCATGGGCCAAAGTGAAATTCCCTTTAGCAACACAAGAAAAAATTAACTTGGGCTGAAGAACTGCCCTCTGTAGAGTTTCTGTACTGTACGACTGCAATCTTGCTTCCCATCATATTTTATTTTTTGCCTAAAGTTCTGCATGACAATTTTTTAAAAGAACTTAGCATGTATGTTTGGACAATTAACATTTTTAAAGTTTGGAATTTTTTTTTTGTGTTAAATGGTTTACATTTTTATCATCATCATACCTTATTTTCTTGAGAGTGAGTCAAGGTGGTTATCTTCCTGTTGTGCTTTGGGAAGCACCAATATGATTGGTTGTACCAATTACACAAAGATCTGCCATGCAGATCAAGTGGCCTTTCCAGAGAATCAGGAAATTGTTTCTGAGGAGCATTCCTAGTGTTGAATGGTCTGTGAGGTGAGCCCAAACTTGTCAATGGACAGACACCTATGTTCAGAACCACCAGTGTCACTCACTCATTTCTCTCTGTGGAACCAACTCAAATATTTCAGTAACCATCTGACACGCACAACTGGATTTCTTCCAAAGCTGAGTTAAAAGCTGTCTTTAAAAAGTATATCTAATCTCATTATTAAAATGCAAGCAAATGTGTACCTAGTATCTCTCCTGATATAAAGTATTTAAATATTTAATTGCCCTCACAGTCAGGAAATGTCAACATTAGGTTTGTCTAGTTCTAGTTTCCAGCAAATGGATATCATTGCCTTTGCCAGCAAGGTTGGAAAGGTCATACTATCAAGATCTCTTTTCTATATTTAAGTACCTATTCAAAGTAATCCAGTTTCTTGACAGGTTTGGTTTTTTTTGTTTCAGAAGCTAAATAAGCTGATATGTGGAAGCTCCATATTCTAAGTCAGCATGTTTTCTGCTCCCTGGATAATCTTTCAGTACTCTTTGAACTATCACTAATATTTTCCTGCTCTTGTAAATACCAGAAGTGGCTGCAGGTGTTTTTGTACCATTTCTTCATCAATGTGTGCAGATATCTTCTTTCTAGAAGACCAGTTTTTATGCACATTCAGTTGCATTAGTTCTTTTCCATCTCCCGTGACCTCGCACTGCCAGGGGTGTGCTGGTCCCCAGCCCAGGCTGAGCCCACGCCTGGCCAGGGCCCTGCCCATCTGGACCCCAACTCCAGGGCTCCTGTGGGTAACCCTATAGCAGATCATGTTGTCCTCATTCAGTACTTTGTATTAACTGGAGTATGGAGGGGCCTTTCCATTATTTCACCTGGGATCAGTGTCCAGCTAATGGGTTTGTATGCCCATGAGTCAGAACATTGACCCTTTTGCATCTCAGAAGCAGTTTGATTTTCAGTGGAGGTGAGGACCCACCATTCCATCCAGGTCAGGCTGGGCTGTGTGAGATCACTGATTTTAAAAATAAGCATAATAGCAATTACACTAAAACTAAGCCTCTGAAACTCACTGGAGCAGAGCACAAAAAGATTCCTATGTTTTATGATATCCAGACCAAAAAGCTTCAGTGGTTGCTGGGTAATACTAGTTCCTTTAATACTTTGCTTTACATTTCCTTTAATTTTTTTTTAATATGAATATATTTAGATGTTGACATTTCATTGCATAATGCAGGGCTTGGTTGTTCCTTAGAGACAATCTGGTTTTTTTAATCAGTGTTAACTCCCCCAGTCTTTGCATCTAGCAAACTTTAATGTTATTGAATTAGTATGGTGTCCCATTCCAAAAGATGGTTATAGATACATTTTGCTGACATATTATTCCCTAAGAGTATAGGATACCTATTTGAATTAGCTGGGAAAAATAATTCAGCAAAGCAGTTGTTAGAATGAAATGACAGTCTTTTGCTCGGTGACATTTAAAAGAAAAATAAAAATGGACAGAGCTTATTTTTGGCCTGAAATGGAATCTGTGAGCTGATCAGTATGACACAGCATAATTAGTGAGTGATAGCTACTTTCTGCTGTTGTTTTACAGCAAATAGAATGATTTGGCTGATGTACTGTAACAGAAGAGGCTACTGGAATCAGGCAGTTGGGAGGCAAATAGGTTTATTCTGTTTTATACTTTACTGCTTTCTGGCATGAATTATACTGCAACCATCATAAAAATTAAAACTAGCCACGCTGGCTGATAAATATGTATTTCCTTTTCATTAATTAGTCCTCTTGTTTATGGTTTATCTATGGTTTATGTATATGTTTATCTCTTATATTGTTTCTCTTACATTTTAAGATGTCGTCTGGTGTAGCTTTTTCACTCGGGTTTTATCTCTGGCTTATTGACTATTTTAAGAACTGCTTTGATGTAGGAACTTTCCTGTTACACTTGAGTTTTGCAAAGTCTCCAGGTAATGCCTTTATTGATACTGGTTGAGGACCCTATGAGGGAGAACACATTAGAGCTGACCCTCAGGGCTGGGGGTGTGCACAGGGGCTGGCACTGCTGCGCTTGGTACTGGGGAAAGAGAATTTCGGGGCTTTTAATCTTGATCCACGCCAAGGAGTAAATGGAGTCTGCTCCTCTGCTACCAGCCGGGAGATGGGGAATGGGGCTATGTGCTGTTCTGACTTGGACCTTCAGGAAGGCGTCAGCAAGTGAGCTTTGGAAGCCTTACGCTCCAGAAGTCGTATTACCAATAGCCCTTCTAGAGCATCCTGACATATTCGTGTTTTTTCTGCCGGTGTTTCGGGATTGTGCAGGATCACAGGGATGCCGAAATGCGGATTACACGTGTCCCCTGGTATTTCCCTAAGATGGTCAGACATCAGGAATCGCCCCGCGGTGCAGCACCCCCGTCCTGCACCGCCCGGGGTCCGCAGTGCCCGGAACCCGGGCCGGGAGAGGACCGGAGGGGCTGGAGCGAGACCCCCTGGCGGGCGGCGGGGGCAGGTGCCGTTTGGGAAGCGATGTGGCCGCAGCTCCGCTCCGTTCCTCTTGGATCTGCCCGTACCCGGCGCCGCCGAGGCCCCGCGGCCACCCCGTGTCCCCCCCCCCGCTCCCCTCAGGGCCGGCGCGCGCGGGGCCGAGGCGGGCGCGAGGCAGGGCCGCGTGCGGTCGCAGCGGGCGGCGAGGGCCGCCGGGGGGCGCGCGCGCGGCGGGCGCGGATTGGCTGCGGGCGGCGCGCGGCGGGTCCCGCCCGGCGCGGGGGCGGGACCAGGGACGAGGGGCGGGACCGGGACGGGCTCCGCGCGCCGGCCCCCGCCCGCTCTCCCGCCGGGCGCCGCGGCCGCACTTACTTAGCGGTTGGGAGCGGGCGCTGTCTGCGGCTTTCTCTGCCGGGGAGGCTCCACCGCCGGGGTGCGCGACGCGGCCGCTGCTCGCCTCGCCATGTCCAAGGAGACGAAGAAGCCGTTCCGCCAGAGCATGGCCGAGTGGCGGCAGTTCATCTACAACCCCAGCAGCGGCGAGTTCCTGGGGCGCACGGCGAAGAGCTGGGGTGAGCGCTGCCGCCCTAAGGGGCACAAGGGCGGGGCGCGGCGCCGGCGGAGCCGAGGGGCGGCGGGGAGCGGGGCCGAGCGCGGGAGGGGAGGGGAGGGGGTNGGGGCCGAGCGCGGGAGGGGAGGGGAGGGGGTGGGGGTGGGGGGTGTGCGGGGGCGGGATGCGGGAGGTTCCCCGCGGGGGCGCGGGGGGATGCGGGGGCGGCGCGCGCCAGGTGAGGCGGCCCCGCGCGGCGCACGCGCCCGGCGCCCGCTACAACCGCCGCGCTAAAAATAGCGCCGTCCGTGACAGCGGGGGCGGGGGTCGGGGATGGGAACGGGAGTTCCCGGAGCGCCCCCCGGGCCGACTCACCGCCCACCCGGCACCGGTCCGGGCCCGCCGGCTCCTCCCTCGCCCGGGCCGCCCCGGGGGCCGCCGCGGTGCGGCCGTGACGGGCCTTGGGTCGCGAGGTGCGGGGCGGCCCCGCCCGCGGTGTGGCCCCCGCAGCCCGCGCGTGCCGGGGCGGCTCCGCCGCTCCAGCCCTTCCCAGCGCGCCCCCCCCGCGCTCCAGCGGCGCAGGGAATCCAGAATGAATGGGCGCAAATTGCCTTTGTACTTGTAGCTGTGGGACGGGGAGGGGGAGCACAGGAAAACCCCCAAACCCCAAAAAAGTTCATGAGCCCCGATTCCAGAGTGAGCGCTGTCTGTCGTTGTGCGTCATCGTGCTAAATTTGTTCCAGCGTGGGGCTTCTGGGCCTTTTATTTTTTTAAAGGAAGCTTTCAAAGGAAGGCTCTCCAGTAAAGCTTGTGAAGGCAGGGTTTGTTTTCCCATTTTCAGGTAGTCATCCCATTGCTTTCCTCTGAGCTGGAAAGCATGTTATCATAATCTCGTTCCTTCCAGTAAAAATATTTATATTTTCCGAATGTGTTTTCTCATATTAAACCGTACAAATGCTTAATATTAGGATGTTTCTTCAGCCCTCATGGGACATATTTACTGACTTTAGAAAATGCTGCGTCTCCTCCCAAAACTTGGATGTAGTTGGGATACTTAAACGTTGTCCTTACAAAACCAACAAGAATCTCAGCGTGGTGTAAAGGAACAGGCCAATACATCCTTGGCCTTGACACAATCTCAATGAATACTAATGTTGAAATAGTGAGGAGGAGCTTTAAGCGGGCTGTGCATGGGGTGTGCTTTCTCTGCCGTGCCAGTATCTCCTGTCTGTCAGGAGAGGGCCCGAGCTCTGACAGGAGTTCTCCTCCATTCAGATGGAAATAAGAGCTTCCAGCTACTCTGCCATTTGAATAGCAAAGGAGAGGAAATTTCCACTATGCTGTTGTCTACTGATCTTTCTGTACAGGCAGGTTTCCTCAAGTGCGTGGGCTGGGTGTGTGGATTGCAGAAGTCTGGCTGTGTCATGAGTCTGAGGAGAACAGACTGTAGGCATGTTAGAAATAGCTTGTAAGTTTTTTCAACAAAAAGTGAAGATGAAACCACCTTGTCTGTTTAAACCTGTCTAGTAGGGCAAGTCAGTTAGGATGTTCCTAGTCTGTGTTAGTCTCAGACCAATAGATAAGACTTGAAACATAAGTGAGACAACTTAGTTGGTATTTGAGTTTCTACAGCTACTAGATAAAAGATGTTTTTGAGAAAGTATGTATAGACAGTTTGAATAATTTTACTTTGTGCAGTCAATTGGAATAGTTGTACTTCATTAATAAGTTTTCTTTAGTGGATTAGGTGATTGGCATGTAGTTAGTGCTATATAACATTTCCTCAGCCTGGACATTAGGAGGTGAATGTTTAGCATCACTATAAATTTTCAATGTATTTTTTCATCAATATTTGTTTTGGCATTTTGTGATTACCATACTGTGCCTGTTTAATTTAGTTTAGTTATAGTCTGACTGGTTTGGGATGTGGCATGTGGCTCTGTGTTTGGTTTCACATTTTAATAGCAGGACACTAATTGTGTGGCTCTGTTGGCACAGAAGAATGTGCAGGGTTTGGTCTTGTTTCTGCCCTTGCAATACTGGTGTGAGCTTAGACCTGTCTCACTGACCAGTGTTCCTCTTCTGTTGCTGGTCTCCCGGTTGAAAGGTGAAGGAGGTAGAAGAGGAAAGCTCTGGTTCCCAGTCTGCTGGGTTTTCATGTCTCCAGGGGCAGCACGATGAGAATTCAGTTGGCTCTGGTTCTTCTGTGCATATTCTCTCGTCTCAAGACATCTTCCTTGCAGAAATAAGACACAGGCAGTAGAGAAACTGTTAAATAATTATTCACAGTATGTGCATGTTTTGCCCTAGTCTGAGACAGTCCCCCAGGCTTATGTAAATTGTAACTGCAAGGCAGTGATTCTCCGTGAAACCCAGTGCTGTGGCATTGGAGTACTCCTCTGTCTGCCATTTCTACACCAGCAGTTTGTGAAGAGATCAAACACAAGTAGCTCCTCTACTCATATTTGTCATGTAACAGAGGTATGTTGCCTCTTAGAGTTTGGTAAAGGGTTGCCTATTTCAATTTGGTGAAAACTCCATAATATGTCTTGCAGACTTGAGGGGTAATTCAATTTGAATCTTTCACAAATTGGTATCCACACCTACACACCCTCCCCCCCAACCTATTTTTAATTATTTGGCATAATCATTTGTTG